AAAACTCATCTGCTTATTTTCGAATGGGATGGAGAAAAATAAAGGACAAATTGTGGATACAGAAAGTTGAAAACAGAGAGCAAAAAGAGCAACTTTTTTGTTCAGGTTGGCAAAAAATTAAATTGTTATTATAGGGGTTTTAAAATTAAGCTTTCATACCAATACTGTAGTTACATAAAATAAAACAATTTTCTTTCATCTGACAAAACAACAAAGTCTTCTTATTGCTCTGTTCTTGATAAGAGATTGTAAAATCTTTTTCTTTAATCTTTTAAGTATTCTTCCCAGAATAATAATCATGTATGTTCCATGTCGTCTTCATAAGATCTTTGATTACTTAAACAGCTACTTGATTAAAAGAGCTAAACGTTGTTCAGAACTATGTAACCTTTTATAATTGGCTGCGAAATCTTTAGTTGTCAGTATGGCTTAATGGATAACTAAGTATTGTTTCACAGTGACCTATGGTCCTGTTTGACCATGTGTTTTAAAAATTTTTTGATATTTTTGAGAAACTTCCCCAAATCAAATCCCGAATGAAGTCTTTTTGACTTTTAACTAACTTCAGGATTTTCCAGAGGTCCCCTGGAACATCTGAAAAAATTGTTCTCTTTCCCAATGAAAAGGGAGATGTTAAATTATTTTGGCTTATTTGATATGTTAAATAATATGGGAAGCATTACTAAATAAGAAGTAAATACTAAGCCTTTTTTATCGTCTATTTGTGTAAGCATCTGTCGTGTCTGTTGCTGTTGCCATAAACATCTTTGTCAGAGACATCTTTCCTGCAAGTACTTTTGCCTCATATCTAATTGACCATAAGCCAATTTTGCTACAAAATATAAAAAAAATAGTTGGTTAGAAGTTTGAGTTTTGGTTTTTATGTTTATTTGTTTTACTTCTCCATTGATGAATCAACCACTGTAAAAGGTGGAAAAACAACTGGCTGACATTATTTTGTGTGTCAGTTTGGTTTCATTTCTCCACTGAGGAAATTCTCAGTCACTCGAATTTTTTATAACACAAATCTTAGGCAGCTCTCACAAGGGTCTATCCAGTCATGAGCGGACATGGCAGTGGGGGTGGTCTTTAACTAGTTTTCATTTCTGACTTTTAGCAAAATTTTATTGACGGTTTTATTGAGCTGACAGATGATGACGGTTTGCCGCAAAAGTTGTTTCTCATTTTTGAAACTAACTACCTTGGAGGAGAAAAAGAGTTCTGAAGGCCTCTTCTTTGAGGAGGCATAGTTGGAAGTACATTTTCCACAGAATGAATGCCAGTGCTTGGTTAGGTACAATTCGTACACAAAAACTCAGTTCATTTCTTTGTGTGGTGTTGCTAAGAACCTACATGCACATATTTTGAATGAACTTAAATATTTTGTATTTCACAATAAAGTTTTTAATTTTCTTACTTATTTTTTATGTTTCATTGTATCCTTTTTAATTATTAGTCTTTTATTTTTGTGAGATTTTTAACTTTTATGCCAAAATTGCCTCACAGCCAATTAGTGATGCGGCAAATTATTTGCTGTGAAAATGCGTGTGGCAAAGATGTCTATGGCAAACATGCTTGTGGTAAAATGACCTACAATGAGGACATTTTAGGAATATTCTAGAAGTTATAAGAAATTTCTGGGAATCTGATATGTTCTGGTATAATGTTATCAGGCATAACTCTAGTTATTATCTTAAAACATATGTCACAAAAATAAGCCAATTTCCTTGTCAGTTGCATTATAATAAACTCTCATCAGGTCCTGAACCGTGGCCATTTTTAAATCTTGTCATTTATAATTATTGTTTCACTCTGATGCTTTGCAAAACTGTTCCTGCAAAAGTACTTTGTCTTCAAGGAGATTCAAGGGCAGGAGTTCTGACAAATACAGGCCCACCTTGGAGATAGTGAGGGTTCCGTTCCAGACCACTGCAATAAAGCAAATAGTGCTACAAAGTGGGTCACACAAAGTTTTGGTTTCCTTGTGCACATAATAGTTATATTTACAATATAATGTAGTCTTTAAAGTGAGTAATAACATTGTCGAATATGTACATACCTAAATTAAAATACATTTTATTTCTAAAAAATGTTAATCATCATCCGAGCCATCAGGGAGTAATAATCTTTTTGCTTGTGGATGGTCTTCTAAGAAACGGAGTGTCTGTGAAGTGTGACAAACTGAACACAATAAAACAAGGTATTCCTTAGAGACAGGAGGACATATGGTAAGAACCTAAGTTACCTTGATTCATTTGGTTTTATCTGACTCACATTTTTTCTTGAATTTCGTAGTATAAAGTATAAAATCCATAATCAATTAAAGATCATGATTAAGAGCCCAGAGTCTACATGCAGACCCTTTTGAAATCCTAATTCTATTTGACTCCTATTTCTGCCACTTCCTAATTGAAACAAATAATATAACTGTAATGATTCTAAAAATAAAAAATAAATGAATTAATGATAGAATCTTATTATTAAACCATCTGATCATTGTGCTTTAGTTTCTGAATGGATCTTTAATAAACATCTCTCTTCTTTGTGTGGACAGTGTACTTTTCCACTTTCAATCACTAGTGAGGAGTCAGTACTGGGAAATTATATTTTCCTATGGAGTGCCCATATTAATGTGCATTGAGTTGTGCATGTGAGTCCAAATTAACTGAGACTGAGTTGTGCAAATGCGTTCAATGATTTTTAAATATATTATTAGCATCATGTTCTTCCTTTTACTTGTATTTTTTTTAAAGTTTGTTTCACAAATTTTGTCTCACTCCATTTCCCTACTCATAACTAAAATCATAGTACCACTCAGTGCCTGAGGACGAGGAAAACAGTTGATTGTGGGAAGAAAAACTCAGAGAAGCAGAAAATCTAGTGAGACACACATACTTGCTGCCAGTCCCTCATGTGTCAGACCTCAGGGTTTCTTGTTCCCTCCGTGAGCGTCCCTGTCTGCCTCCAGGGTTGGTGGAAAATAAAGAGCCTCTCTCAAACACTCCAACAGTCTCTTTGGAGATAATAATTAGGACACTCATAATTGTTTTTGGAAAGTAGCAGCTAGGAAAAATGTTTTTCACAAGTATTCTCAGCTCCCCAAGCCTGTGCTCTGATCGCAACTACAGGTGAAAAGATAATTGCAGTTCTGAGAAGAGGTGAGGTCATAGAATCACAAACCTATATCTAGTTGTCTGACTGTCTTCCTCCCTCTCACACAAGTACTGGCTGTTGTGACCATCACAGTGAGCCGAACATCCTGTCTGCTGGAGAATGAGTAGAGATTTTTTTTGCAGTCAGAGAAGTAGAATCTGTAAAAGGAGGTGTGCGTGAGCACATGTAAGTAATCATGTTGGAAAATGGGATTCTTCTGAATGTGAAACAGGTCCAGTGTCAAAGCCACAGCATGAGGAGGTATCATTCCTGATGAGTCAGCAAAACAGTCAAGAGAAATGGGGGGTCTTCGAACTTACACCAACCCCTGGTGGCTCCTAAAGCAATGTAATGAATTCTCCCCTGATCGTGACTGTTGGCATTTAATCCAAGTAATACTGACACCGGATTTGTTAGGTGTTCATATTAGGAACTGTAGTTACAAAGTCAGTCTGCTGTTCAGATTACCATAGAAAAATCATAGACAGAATTGTCAGGATCTCTAGAGGTGTGGGTATAATACATCTCTGACTAATGAAGACTAGGATGAATCCACAGGCATTACCTAATCCTGTGCACAAACACTGTTTTTGGTATGCAGTTGCTAGAACAGAAATGATTTCTCTAAATCTAATTGTATGATGCAATTAATGGAGACAGGAATTGTGTCTCCACTGCAGACATCTGTTGTCTTTTGATTACGGTGAGACTAGTTTCCATCGTGAAGTCAGAGAAGCAGCATTTAAGGAAAAGATAACTTGAGATAGTTTTGGGTTTTAGGCTGCAGCTGTCAGGCTTAAATCTGTCCTGTGATATTTTCTCTCATTTAAAAATATTCTAAGATTAATCAAAAACTGTAATTTCAACACATAGAATGCACAATATTTCACCCTCACAAATTTCACTTTGCATATGTCTTGTATTTTAGTCACTTTCACAAGTATCATCTCATTCCTAACAGCTTTACTTAATACAAATACTAACAACTAGATAAGTAGATGATCTGAGGTGAATAACAATTTAGTTTCTGCCATACACTATTTTATCATGTTCCATTTTTTAGGGCACAACATGAGATTGTTCAATAAGTCATGTAATAGAGCCCCTTATCCTTTTGTTTCTAGTGCAAAAGCAAATCACTCTTTTTGTTCCCATCCTAAGACTGAGCCATACTTGCATTCGTTACTCCGAATTTTGATGGAGTAGATTTCTGGAGTATTATTCTGAAATCAGTGCAACTTACAATTATTATGATACCTAAAGTTGTATTCATAATTGATATTGTGTGTAACTTTTTACACGCAAGTGGAACTTTATTACTAACAAAATTATGAAATAAAATACCAGCATTATAAAGTATAATAACAAGGGGTAAAAACAAACTAATATTGACTGAGTTATCTAAAGAAGATAGCTAAACAGATCATGGAGGTTAAATGCACTATATTTGTTACCAGCACAGCTGGGTTCAAGGCCTCCTTGGATCTCTAATCAAGATGTGAATTTTTGCAAATCACTTAACTGTTCTGTTTATGTTGCCCTCTTATTTATAATGAAAGTATTAGTAAATTTTGCAAATCTAATTCATGTATTTGTGAAGAATAGAGGAGTAACCTCATGTCCAGCTTTCAGAACAGTGATACAGACATTGTCAGTGCTTTAAGGGTTATGCATTCAACTCTTGTACATCTCTTAATAAAAGAAAAACTTAAATATTTCTAAGTGAGAACTAACAGTAAATGGAGACTGCTGGTTTTCAGTTGACATGGTCCATGTTGCCCACGCCTCATGTCCCGATGCAGGAATCTCCGGCTCTGAAGACAACTATCAATCACTGAGGACTCAGAATGACCTCCATGAACTGGGCAATAGGGGTGATTTTCTTATCACAGACTGTATTTGGAGTTCTTGGAAATTTATCTTTTCTTTATCATTATATCATCCTTCACTTCACTGGGTGCAGGTCAAGGTCCACGGATTTGACTCTCAAGCACCTGATTGTGGCCAACACCTTGGTCATTCTCACCGTAGGAGTCCCCCGGGCCATGGCAGCATTTGGGTTGAAACATTTCCTCAATGACTTTGGATGTAAACTTGTTTTCTACGTCTACAGAGTGGGCAGTGGTGTTACCATTGGCAGCACCTGCCTTTTGAGTGTCTTCCAGGCCATCATCATCAGCCCCAGGAATTCCTGGTGGGCAAACCTTAAAGCAAAAGCTCCCAGGTACATGGGAATCACCACTATCTTCTGCTGGATCATGCGCATGCTGTTAAATATCATTTTTCCTATGTACATAATGGGAAAATGGAGCAACACAAACATCACAATGAAAACGGACTTGGGATACTGTTCTTTTGTCAGTAATAGCAAAATGACTAGATCACCGTATGCAGCATTGATATCATTGCCTGATGTTCTTTGTTTGGGGCTCATGATCTGGGCCAGTGGCTCCACGGTTTTCATCCTGCACAGGCACAAGCAGAGGCTCCAACACATTCATAGGACCAACGTGTCCTCCAGATCCTCCCCTGAGTCCAGAGCTACTCAAAGCATCCTTATCCTGGTGAGTGCCTTTGTGTCCTGTTACTCCCTCTCCTGTATCTGTGAAGTTTGTTTGACTCTTTTTAAAGATCTTAGTCAGTTGATGCTGACCACCTCTTCACTAATCGTTATGTGTTTTCCAACTCTCAGCCCGTTTCTTCTCATGAGCCGAGACTCTAGTGTATCCTGGCTTTGCTTTGCCTGGATAAGCAATACAAAAATTTTCAGTCTGATCAGAAATGTATAAATTGTTTGTGTATCCATGATGATAAGTTGCATACTCATTCATCTCCCATAAATTCATGAGCACATTCAGGAAAGTTCACGTTGCAGGACAGTGGAGGTACACACACTCATACAATAGTATAAATGTACATATACATATATTTAAAAGTATATATTCTATCAGAACAATATTTTTTTCCATCAAATAATAATATTGCATAATGGCCCATTGGGGAACCTAAGTCTTATTCCAACAATTATAAACTATTTTTGCCTTAAATTCTTTATCTGATATTTATCTCACTGTGCTAGTTTATTAATTGGTAAAAATTGTATGCAATGTGTTGCTCATTTTCTGCTAGACTTCTAATGTTCTAGTTCTATCTATTAATAAATATCTAATTGCATACAGTGAAGCAGTATTTTGTTTTTATGAAAGGAATTATTCTACTAACATTTGACATCATAATGCAAAGTTTTATGTATATAGTGGGATCCTGATGACATGTATTTTATTTTCTTATTCTATCTTTACTTCTCCTGTGTTAAAATAATTTTACATTGTATTGTGTTTCCTTAGAGATTGTATATTTGGCATCTTTTAGTTTTTAACCTAGAAATTACAACATAAATTTTTTAAAACTAATCACAGGGTAAAGTTTTTAATATATTTAATCACCACCTAGAAAATAAAAGGACATTTCAATACCAATATATTTGCATTTTCCAAGCTTTTTAACATTTCTTGTGCAATGACAATAATTCTTTTTTTTTTTTTTAAAGATTTTATTTTTTCCTTTTTCTCCCCAAAGCCCCCCGGTACATAGTTGTGTATTCTTCGTTGTGGGTTCCTCTAGTTGTGGCATGTGGGACGCTGCCTCAGCGTGGTCTGACGAGCAGTGCCATGTCCGCGCCCAGGATTCGAACCAAAGAAACACTGGGCCGCCTGCAGTGGAGCGCGCGAACTTAACCACTCGGCCACGGGGCCAGCCCCAATGACAATAATTCTTTTATCTCAGACTCAAGAGTCTCACGCCTTCTGTCAGCATCCATGAAACTAACCGGATAACTTGTTGGATTGCAAACAGTGTAAAATTTATAACTCTTCACATTTCTTGACAGTTCAGGTTAGGTGAATGATAGACGAGAGAGAGACGATTTTCTGGAAAAGGTCAAGGACCCTTCATGGGGCTGGTTAGGGCATATGAGATAGTCTCCTGAGGCCAGTAGCCACTTCTCTTGCACAAGAAGCAGGCAAAGTTATAGGAATAGTCCTCCAGTGACTTCCATGTTCATGAGGCTGGTCTATGACAGCTAGGATTGAACCAGGCAGTCTGTGTGTGCTTTGTTTGGTCTACATTCAACTCCTGGCAGCAGGGAAGGCCGAGTCCCCAGAATTGATACAGAACCATGAGTGAATCTAAATATGATCAGTTCATGTGGCGGAGCTGCAACAGCCAGTGAACTACTAAAAACTACAAAGAATTGTGTCTTGTGGTGCTTTGCTGACTAGCAAGGACTCTCTTTCTCCCTGTGTAACTTCTGACCCCTCCTTCTGATTCAGGTGCTTTAAAGAAACAGAGTATGGATACACTTGAGAATTCTGAGAAGGGAGGGAACACAAACTTGTAGAGTTCTATGGGATCCAGGAGCCCAAGGCACCCTCCTCTGTGGTCCTGTGTGTGTGAGTGTGCTGAGTGCAGTGATGAGGGAAAGGGCTGGGGACCGTGAGGCCCAGTAAAACTAAAAGGGCCAGAGAGAAAGGAGCTGCTGATCTTGTGGACTCTGAGATGCTGCGATGTACAAAAAGAAGGCGGCGGCACAGACCCTGGAGTGAAGACTGAAAAGAGAAACCTCCTCACTCCCTGACTGTCCTCCATGCAGCAACATCAGTAGCTTTGCATTTGCCATGCCCCTGTCTTGGAGATAGCATAGTCTTGCTGCCGTCCCTGATTCCAGCAAGAGTTCAAATCCTTGGTCTGTGTTCATGAAGAGAAGAAAAAAAGCACATAAACTAAGTAAAGAAAACTCATCTTATTGCAGCAGAATTCACAGTGAGGGTAAAAAAAGTTAATGTGACAAGTAGTGTAATTTGGGCGAATCCACACCCTCTTGTTGTTTATATCCCAGAATCTATAGTGGGAATTGATGTGGGTTATGCTTGTCCTTTCCCATCCCTTAACTTAGATGGAGAAGAGATTATCCCCAAAATTTAAGGCGCAGGCAGAGAAGTGTTAGGGAGACAAATATGGCTGTAATATGGCACCTGTGGGTCAGTCAGACTGTATCCTGAATGGCTTTACCTCCAATGTCCTCTTTGTCACTGTAGTATAGATATAGTTGTGTTTGTTGTCAAGTCACAAGCTTCGTTCTCAAGAGCCTTAACGGGGATGTTATCATTTTCCTCCCAGTGATTGTGGCAAATAAAACCTGATGAAATCTGAGTTCTGTTTTCCTCTTAAGGCTTATTGGAACTATGTGGCCAGATTTATATAGTCCAATTCCTCTAGAAATCAGGAAAAATTGTGACTGATGATGTTTTAACTTGGAGCCTTTAGCAAAGAGAGGGCACCTCCACCTAAAAGTGAGCCTTGGGGTTTTGGCTTCATAGCCTCCATGAAAATGCCACTAGCTACAGAGCTTTTGGAAGTCAGCTATTATCTTGCTACCTAGCTTTTATCAAAGCTTAGCCCTCAACCATAGAGGCCTTTTGGCTCCCCAGCCTGAAATTCAGATGTTAAAGCAGGTCAACTTGAAATACATCACTATCAAGTTAGGAAGGGGGCCAAAATCATTGCTTGACAAATAGAAGAATAAACAGAGATCTATCTCTTCAACATCTCAGCAATATAGGAAAAGTACAGAGCTCCCTTTGAGAAAATTTTATGCCCCTTCAGGCACATGAACAAAGTCTTATGGAAACCTTTCATTACAACCCTCCCTTCTGAAAACACAGGAACTTGCACTTTAGGGGTGTCATAAAGATCTACAAGTGTTTAAGGAAACAGCACCAGCTGAGGAAGGCATGTAGGTCACCTCACTCTCTGGTCAGGGATTTTGTGGATAATACAGTTCCGTTAGACTTCCTTCTTATGGGCCAAAGTCAAGTCTGTACAATTATAAGTCATCCTACTATAACTGTATTTATACAGGATAAGCAGAAGGATCAATACAGAAACTTAAGGAGAAACCCATGTGGTGTTCTCAAGCGCATTGTAATGGTCTATGTGATTTGTTTATCTAGTTGAGTCTGGGATCCTTGTGGTCATTTATGAGATCAACAGATTGGTCCAGTTCTGCTTGTTGATATCCTGTAGGTAGTAATCTTAAATGCTGAATTATGCAAATGGAAAGGATTTGGTCTCAGCCCCTGTTGTTAGATTTATCAGAGATATTAGTAGAGTGAAATACACATAGAAAAATTTGCATGAATTTTACATAAAATATTTTTGTATAAATAAGAATTATCACACTTTGATGAAAAGATTATGTACGCAAACTAAAAGTAAATCCACACAGGTACTGATTAATTAAAAAGAAAATATAATAACTTTATAATGCACAAATATGTCAGACTCCACCGTGCCAGTTGATCAAAATTAACATTAGCAGTCATAGGACCAAGACATGCTTCTAATGTGACGCTCTGGAAAGGACACAACACCACTGCTGTTACCTTCTTGGAAAAATAAAAAAGATTTTCTGAACCTAATATTAGAATACATCAGACAAACTCAAATTGAAACATTTCTGCAACATCAGTGGCCTGGAAATGTCAAAAGTGAAAGCTAATGAAAATCACAGAAGATATAGAAACAGTTCAGGCCAAAAGAGTAGAGACATAGCAACTCAGTGATACATGATTCTGAGCTTGCTCATTTGATATGAAATACATTACAGAAAACTATCAAAATGTGTAAAGGATTTGAGGATGAGATTCCAGCAATGTATCAATGTTAAATTAAGATTTTAATAATTGAATACTGTATGAAAATATCCCAGTGTTTAGGAATTTACATGGAAGTATTTAGGAGTTAAGGGGCATTATATCTTCAACACATCTCAAAAACTTCTATAAAAGTAAGAAGAATTTATATATATGTGAACGTATATGCATGTGTATGTGTACATGAAAGCGTATGTGTATGTAAACACATGGAGAGGAATGTACAGAAGGCTTAATTTGGGGGAAATTCTCCCAAAGGTATATGATATATGGTGATTCTCTACAATTTGTCCAACTGTTTCTGTAATAGTCAATTATTTCAAAATAAAACATTTACAATGCATTTTAGAAAATATAGTTTAGAAATTAATTAAAAACTCATTCAACACTGTTGGAGATAGACAAAATAAACTGTAGTGGAATAAAATTCATGTTAATATGAATAAAACAGAGACTAGTAACGTTATAATAACAAGGAAAGATTTTAATAGTACAATTAAAATAGATGATTTGAGAAAAACCATAAATTAAACAAAATGGTGGCAGTGTAATCAAGTCATGAGAAACTCAAAGCTCTGGAAATTCATAAAGACCTGGTCTACATTTAGAAATATTAAATTACAAAAGGAAATAATGATAAAATTTTTTTGTGCACAAATTTGTGCATCTAGGCATGATACTGTGATTTATAGTAAATGTATATATTGTCTTAGTGCCTGTTCTTGGCACACGGCTTCTAAAACCCTTGGATTTTCCTAAGTGACGAGAACAACACAGATGTCTTTTGTTATGTCAATAACCTGGCTTTTGGAAAGCACTTAAGTACTGGGACTGGTTGCCAGGAGAACCAAGCACATGATTGGAGGGTAGGACTTTCAGTCCCACCCCCCGACCTCCAGGGAGAGGGAAGAGATAGAGGTTGAATAAATCACCAACGGCCAATGACCTAATCAATCCTGCTATGTGATGAAACCTCCGGAATAACTCAAAAGGACAGAATATGGAGAGCATCTGGTTTGGTGAACACATGGAGATTTGGGGAGAGGGTTGTGCTGGAAGAGAGCATAGAAGCACTG